CCTGCTTGGAAGGCTTCCTCTCCTCTTGGCCTATTTCCTCTACACCTTCACACCCCGCTTCTCAGAGAAGTCCCTACTCTCAGCTTGGTTAGGTGGCTATCATCATTCCGTGAGCATCCCTCGAGGGTGGGTGCATTGGCTCCTGCTGTGTGCCCAGACCTGGGTGCATAGTAGGTGCTCCACACACACACTGGTCAAACGATGACCAGTGCGCCTGATCCCCTACCCAGTTAGTCCCTCACAGCCGCTTCCTTGGGGAGGGAGAAAGGGCCCCAGGGTTGGGAGTCTTGGAGCCCACAGCACTTCTTGGACTTCTCACAGCTGCTTGGGAAACCCAGGGGGATCTTGGCGGGACTGCTGACCCGATGGTTTTGTCTTCAGGGGGACCGCTTGGGCGTTCTCAGGGCCCTCTTCTTTAAGGTCATCAAGGATTACCCCTCTAACGAAGACCTCCACGAGAGACTGGAAGTTTTCAAGGCCCTCACGGACAATGGGAGACACATCACCTACTTGGAGGAAGAGCTGGGTGGGTGCCACGTTGGGTGTGAGGTTTCTCTGGCCTTGGTGATCAAATTTAATCTGGGATGCAGGAAGGCCTGTCGGGCCCAGAGGGAGTGCTGCAGTTCACAGGTGTGGCCTTCAGAGGGCGCTGCAACACACTGGTCTACTTACCTGTGTGCAACCAGGATCAGTCCCCCGAATCTCCCCAGAAGCTTGTTAAAAATGCAGAGTCTGGGCTTTACTCCAGACAGGCTGGCTCTGAATCCCTGGGGAGTGGGGCCTAGATGTGCCTTTTAGGGGGGCAGGAGGTGGTCTGCGTTTTGCTGTTGGGAGAGCATGCTGCTGACCCAGGCCTCAGGCTGGGTCTTATCCAGAGTTCCCTGAGGTTTTTGGGGGGCTGGGGCCACCTCGCTGCGTCTTCCTCCTTGCCCTTTTCATGCCCGGTCTGGCCTCCTAGCGCTTCCCTTTGGTGGCCATCCTCCCTGTTATCCTTATGGTGTGAGGTTTCCATGAGTCTTGAGATTTCATGTCACTGCTGTGGGGAGAAGAGGAAGGCAGAGGAAGAAGTAAATCTGACTTGGGCCTTGCTGTTCTGTCAGAAACGGGCCTCAGCTGTTGGTCCGCCTGCAGGACACAGGTGCTGACAGTGAGGATGTGGTTAGCTTTTCTGTTCAAGTTTATGTGTCTAGCAACCAAGTGTTGCTTGTGTTTCCTTTGAGAGATTCTCTGTGGGGATGGGGGCCTCCTAGACACTCGCGCCGTGTTTGCACCCCCAGCATCAGGGTCAGGGCTCTGAGCATCAAATGCACAAACGCTGCCCCTGCCTCAGCTCAGACCCCTTCATGCATCCTGGGAGCTGGTGAATTCCAGAGTCCATGACATGCTGACCTGCTCGGGCTCCAGCTGAGCCTCCATGGGTCCCGTGCTGGCCTGCCTTTCATTCCATGGGGACCAATGATGCTGTTTCTAGCAGTGAATGGGATGGGGGCTCATTTTCCTGGGGAGGAGGTGAGTAGGAAGGACATTGCTCTCCTCTTTTTCTCCCCTAGCTGAGTTTGTCCTGCAGTGGATGGACATCGGCCTGTCCTCAGAATTCCTTCTGGTGCTTGTGAATTTGGTCAAATTCAACAGCTGTTATCTCGATGAATACATCGCATCCATGGTCCAGTAAGAAAAACATGTGATCAGTAACATGCACTGATCACAGTGCTGCTGTCTTGTTTCTGCAGTTCAGCTCTGTAGAGTGAATAAGCTGTTAAAACCATCAAATAAATGGAGATGTTGGAAGTGGCCAAAGCCACCTTCCACATAATGTTTGTAGCAAATGTGTGATATTATCTGATGTTTTGTTTATTGTTACTTGTCATTTGTTCAAAACATTCTGTGAAACCCTGCGGGCAGAGGCTTGGTCTTGGTGCTGTACACTCAGCGCTGAGCAGTGGTTGGGTGAGGGGAGCCCTGAGGGAGGATGAGCCACTTTTTTAACTGACTTGGTAGAGGAACCAGGAAGTAAAATGGAGCCACCCAGCCTCTGGGAAGTGTCCTCTCAGCTGACTTTGTGTTTCCTCCCACAGCATGATCTGCCTGCTGTGCGTCCAGACCGTGTCCTCCGTGGACATAGAGGTCAGTAGCTGCCCCCGTCCAGGGACAGTCCCTTTCACCGTCCTTCTGGGCAGGCCGGGTGGTGTAGCAACTGAGACCCCAGGCCTTGGGGTCAAGCCCTGTGCTGCCCCTCACTGGCTGTGTGGCCTCGGGAAAGCTGCTTGACCTCTCTGAGCCTCAGGACTCTCCTGTAAGTAAGGGCGTTGGATGACATCCGTTGTGGGGTCATAGTTCACGATGGGATAACCCACCGTGACTGGGATGTAAAAGTGCCTCCCAGATGCTTGCTCACTCTGTGGTTCCCAGGAAGGCTGCTTTGACAGAGGGGAGGGGCAGTCATTGCTGACCAAAGGACGGTCAGTGGAGGAAGCTGGGGGTGTCACTTTCCTGTGAGCGGGAGGTAGGGCTGGCCTGACTCTTTCTCCGCCCCACCAGGTCTCTCTGCAGGTGCTGGATGCCGTGGTCTGCTACAACTGCCTGCCGGCCGAGAGCCTCCCCCTGTTCATCGTCACCCTCTGCCGCACCATCAATGTCAAGGAGCTCTGTGAGCCTTGCTGGAAGGTAGGGGTCTAAACTCTCTTGCCCGGATGAAGTGATAAGCCAGGCTTATGGACAGGACAAGGGCCATCTTGTCCTCAATGAATGGCCATCTTATTCTCGGAGCGGCCAGACAATGGCCTGTTGAGGGGAAGCCAGTGGCATTTTCCCAGTGGCTGAGCTGAGGTCAGGGTTTTGGTGACATTTTGAGAACTCAGCTGCCCCTGTTCGGGAGGAGATGGTGGAGAACAGCTGGACGTGGAGGGCTTCAGAGCGGTGGCCGTGCGAGGCCCTGGGCTCGTGTTTGTGTTTGCCAGTCTAACGACGGTGCGTCTTGCTTCCCAGCTGATGCGCAATCTCCTGGGCACCCACCTGGGCCACAGTGCCATCTACCATATGTGCCGCATCATGGAGGACAGGCGAGTGCGGGTGGCCCAGCCGGCATGGGTGAGGGCGGCTTGGTGGCCGCAGGGCCTCCTCAAGGAGGCTCCCTGTGTGGGCTCTATGCCTCGGCACAGGCTGATGCGGAGCTTCCTGTGCTGGTGGGGTGGCTGCTCCAGAAGCGAGCCCTGATATAGGGCTCACGTCTTATGCTACTGGTCGCCTGTCCTCCCCTTCTGCCAGTAAAGTCAGAACATGCAAAACTGAACTCTCGACCTCCCTCCCACAGGCGGACCTCCTCCAGTGGGGCTGCCTCTCCACCCACTTGTCACGAGGCCCTGCCTCACCTCCCACAGCCAGACCGTCTCAGGTGGTATTGCTTCTGCCCCTGAGATGGTCGTCTGTCCACTCCCGGGTGCCCCCCGCCACCCCAGCTCTCACCTCCTCACTGCTCTCCTGCACTCACTCTTGGCCTCCTGAAGTCCATTCCTCCACACAGCAGCCACACATAGTTTTTCCAGCACAGATCTGACTGTGTCACTTTTTGCTTGAAGCCACAATGGCTCCTAGTGCTCTCAGGATAAAAACCAAATGGCAAGGCCTGGATGGTCCAGCCCTGCTTAGCCTGTGAGCTTCTCGTTCCTGCCATGTTGCCCTTCTGCCACCCACCCAGGACCTTTGCACATAACTTTCATCTTGCTGAAATGTCCTTCCACCTGGGTTGAGTTTCCCTGAGTGTCCTTGACATTGTAGTGTTGCGGTTAGATTCCCTGATCGCCCTGAGTAGGTCTGCTCTTGTATCCCATGGCTTTCCTTCTTAGCTGTAATCTGAGTTGGAACCTTGGTGTTTATTTACGTGATCCTTTGGTTCACACCTGTGTCTCCTAGGCTGTCAGCACCATGATGCTGAGGGCTGTTGAGCGAATGCGTGAATGAATCACACGGTTGCTGCTGGCCCCTGAGTCCCCTGCCCAGCCCACTTCCCCAGCTTTGCTTCTGCCTCATAAGTGTAGGGACCTCCGGGGAGGCTGACAGGAGCCTGGGTAGATGCTGGGCTGGGCATTGCTTATATCCTGTCTTCCCGGGGAACGCTTTCAGAGCCTACATGGAAGATGCCCCACTGCTGAGAGGAGCTGTGTTCTTTGTTGGCATGGCTCTCTGGGGAGCCCATCGGCTCTACTCTCTCAAGAACTCCCCAACATCTGTGTTGCCGTCATTTTATGAGGTAACTTGGCTTCTGTACCGCAGTGATGTGGCAAGGGCAGGAAATCTCACCTCAGCCCCACCCAGTGGGGACAGGCCTGTCAGACGGGGAGTCTGCTGCAGGGGCAGGAGGTGGGGGGGGGTGCGGGGGGAATGTGTGCAGTCACTTGCTTTGCAAGTAGGGTTGCGATGTAGGGCCTTTTAGGTTTTATCCTCAAGCAAATATTATATTTTATGAATTTCATTTTCTACAAATTAGCATCAGGACTGCTCAAGATTCCCCTTGGGGATAGTGACATGCTTGCTTTCGACAGTTTCCTTGGTCAAGTGGCAAACTTGCTCTTGGTCTAGAATGAGGCCAGAGATAATAGCTTGTGTTTCCACCGTGCCTGGTGGAGTTCGGAGCACTTTGCATGTTTTCATGTAGCCGTCATGACACCCTGGTGAGCTGGGGCATTCATACCATCCTCATCTTACGTGACAAACAGATGAGCTGTGTCATGTCCCAGCTGCCCCTAATGGGGTCCTTCTGGCCACACCCCGTCTCCTGGGCAGTGGAGGGCGTGTTCTCTGCACATTGCTTGCATCAGGGTAGCTTTCAGGTTCCTCTAGGCCAGGAAGCCAGGGGCCCAGAATTCGAAATGAATGGCCCTTTGGAGCCAGTATAGAAAACACACTTCTGGGTTCCTGAGATCCTACTTTTGTGGCCCACGAGACATGCGTGGGAGCGAGGCATCTCATGGTAGGTTCCAAGGGCGACGTGCTGGGGCTTCCTGTGCATGAGCGCAAAGGAGCTGACACTGCATGCCCCCCGGGCCATGTTCTAGGCCATGACCTGTCCAAACGAGGTGGTGTCCTATGAGATCGTCCTCTCCGACTCATCAA